CAGTCGGTTGACGAGTCACGGGACACCTGTGTCTCGCGAAATGATCGCGCAAAGCTCGTACAGAGACTACAGAAACCGAAGTAGAGCGAGACAAGTATTTCGACGTTTTTACGTCGCGTCGTGTCTGATGTTTCGTCGCGATGTTGAAGGATGATTTATTACGGGAAATGATTTCGTGTTTCCTTCCTCTGCCCCGTCCTCAGTCACTCTCTCTCTCTCTCTCTCTCTCTCTCTCTCTCTCTCTCTCTCTCTCTCTCTCTCTCTCTCTCTCTTTCTTCCACACGCTCGTCGCTGTTTCACCAGCAAACCGCACAGACTATTTCGTTGAAGTAGTTATAAGTAAATGCGCCATGTTTCGCAAACACAGAAAAAGGAAGAAAGACGAAGGAGAAACGTGAACACGGGAAATGAAATTCCTTTCGACGTCAACGTGCTCGTTTTACATGCTTATTAACTTCGTTTTGACGGAGTGAATATCGAGCGGCGTGAGTTAGTCGAGTGAAATAAATAAGATCAAAGGAAACTTTTAACGAGAACTTAATCAACGGCCACCGATGTTTTCAAACAGAGGAGTTATGAAAAAATACCGGCGGAGTTCGATAAATCATTATTTATGATATTAATGCTGCAAATTTAACTATATTCCAAGTTCCCATTTCTCTTTCTTCCTCTCTCTCTCTCTCTCTCTCTCTCTCCCTCTCTCTCTCTCCCTCTGTTCCGTCATTTTTGTTTCTATTCTTCTTCTTTTCGAAGAGGCAAAGTTTTAACGAGAAAATTTATTCAAATTCACCCTCTGGTTTCCTTCGGGTCAAACGCTAATGGACAAGTAAACAAGATGTGACGCGAGATGTTCGATTAGGTGAAACTCCAGTTCTCAGTGATTATTTATTGGATGATTCGTAACCCGAGATAAAACTAGTATTATCACGCGTGGGCTACGGATTCGTGGACGACCGTGTCTGCAGAATCTATCGATTAAACGTTTACATCGGTGGTACCTTCGAGAGACTAGTTATTCTTGAATATCCTCAGTTCGTTGATCATCCGTCCAGGCGAAATCGAGACTGCGGGACAGCCAGTGATTAATGGAGATAGTAATTTCAATTCACCGCACATATGTTCGCCGTAAAATATCGGCGAACCGGAATCTGGCTCCAACCGGACGATTCGAATACAATGTACACTGCGGCGTGACGTTATACGCGAGCTTAATCAATTTATCCGAAGAGCAACGTCGCTCTAAAGATACTAGCAGACCGTAGGCGAAAAACAAAAAGAAGGATATTTCAAGAACGGTATTATTCATCCTTTACAACCACGCGTACTCGGGGAAACATTTCTCTAATAGAGAGATAATTATTTCGTTGAGAATCTCGTGAATCAAAAGTTTCGAAATAGCCGCGTATTTGACTGTCGGACGACTTCTCGTTAAGTTTATTATTCCAAGTTCGAACGTCCGCTTGCTGATTCGTTAATAAAAAAAGTAGATTTCGAAGAGTTTCGCGGAGACGTGGAACGCTTGCCCGACCAGAGAGAGAGAGAGAGAGAGAGATGAGAGGATGAAATTCGAAAGCGAGGGGACGAATAAAACGGAGCAAACAAAATTATTTTCTTGCTGGCAAGTCAAAGCTCGAAGTACGTGACCTGCGGATTTCGGGTGGTCCAATTACTCCGCTGAATAATTGTCCGAACTTACAAGTTGTTGTTAACGAGTACCGCGGATAACTACCATGACTTCTGTTTCTTGAGGTGAATAATTCCTCGAGCACGGCTTGCCAAGAACTTCCCCGCTCGTAAACAGAACGAGGCCGACGCGCCACGTTGTCGAATATTGAAAATAAAACGGGACGGTCACAGCCCGGTTGGGAAAGTTAACAGCCTTTTAATTAACAGAACGACGCAACGAATGTGACAGCGGAAATTGAGTTAGATCTTTCGGGAACGAAAACTTGATGCGACCCTCGACGATTTCAACTTTTTCATTTTTTCCTTCCTCGTAAATTTTTCTTCTTCTCTTTTTTTTTATTTAGTATTGTGTATAGCCTACGATTATCCGAAGATAATTAATTACGACTAATTTTCGTTCTTAATACGCTCATAAAGGAGGTCGGGAAAAAATATACTTGAATAGCCGACACATCTAATAATTGCACGATGATAAAACAAACACGTAATACGTGTTTTGTAATGCGAAATCTGGAACGAGCAACGGTCGGCGAATCGCTGAGTACTTTCTCTACACGCGTTTAATTCGTTAATTTATACAATTACAATTTTTGTGAATAACAGAAAAACCGCGAGAAGACAAAAACAATAAAGGAAACACTACAATGCGGCTGCTTTATAAAAATCTCTTTTATTAAGAATTTCATTTCCGACCCAATATTCTTTTAATTAGCGAAAAAAATAATACCAACGAACAAACTACCTAACACACCTGTAAAACCAAGCTTCACGTACTACCCTCTACTCTCGGTAGCACGTCGACGAAACAATATACAATATTCCAAAGCGCGAGGAACGAACAGAAACGAAAATCCCACAATATCTGTTCGTGGCATTTCGATACTTCCTTGAAAAATGCATTCGTTTGAAACGAACGACTGCGTCCACAACGTCATTAATTAAATCTTAGTACTCCGATATTCATCGGAGCAATTATTCTTTGTTTGTAGTATTTCTCATTTTGAAACTCTAAGTTTTAACTTGTATTCAACAAAATGATATATATACATATAAAAAAATATTGTATAAAACGGAAATTCATTAAATGCAAAAGCGCGATATGAAAAAAATATTTTTTTAAACATATATCATTTGTTTCGAGAAACGAAGAAACATTGAATCTTCAAAGAGAAAGGACGAGCATGCATCTTCGACGTGGAACGCAAAACGTTTCACAAGTTAATTAATTATCTATCGAGTACGGAAACGCATGTCTGCCGAGTCGTTGATACTACTACTCGCGCGGCTGAGCTCATGCGGATTTGTTTCCCTTCCTCCTCCCTCTCGTTAACTATAACTTCAAATTGTCACAAACTAGCCTAGATCGCGTGTTTAAAAATTAAAGAGAATTAAAAGAGAAAGGAAGGAGAGAGGCATCGTTTATCTTTTATCGCAGAGGATCATCGAAATTAATGATAACAAACGATTAAATGTCCCGCCGACACAATTACCAGTAATACCGATACGATAATGGCCGCGGAAATAATATTTTCCTGTTTACGAGTGATGTATAAAACCGCAAACTCTTTTACTAAATGATCGTAACGATAAAGTTAATAATTCCTGGCGTGTTTAAACCCGCTCGAAAACAATGCCGATATATATCGCCGATTAATATTTATTTTATTGCGGATAACAGCCACGATCATTTAATTACTAATATCTTGCATTGAATGTGCCGTCCAATTAGATAATTGTTGTTGTCGTTGCCCTGAATAAATCGAGTAGCAACGCCCGGGAAATATGCACGAAGTACTCGACGGAGACTCGTTAAGCGGCACGAGCCACCGTACAATCGGTCGGTCGCGAGGTACGGAGATTGGCGGCCGATCGGTATAGCTCGCGTAATTCACGATCCGGCCTCGTTACGGTTTCCGCCCGAACTTACTCGTCCAATCGCGAATTTTATCTCGAACGTCATCGTTACGACAACGGCTTGCCAATCGATTTCAACGATACCAGCCTGCGACAGCAACTTAAACCCGGACAAACTTTCGCGTTTCAATCGTTGCGACTCTCAAGGCCACGCGCTCGATTATATCATCGATCGGTCGATAACTGATGAACGCGAAACAAATTTCCCGCGGAACGCCTTTAACATTCCAATAACAAAGCGTGTTTCGTCTCTTTAATAGAGAACGCGATCGTCGCGACTTTCCGCGTCGTCAATTTCTGCTGAACCTCCTCAGCAGAAGTGAAACAGCGTTCGCGGCACGCGTGCGACGAATCGGAAAAAAAGAAAAAAATTCGCAGCGTGATCCTGAACTTTACGGCTCGCGTTACTTCAAGGTTCATCGATTATCAGAACCAACTGTAAAACTCCGATCACGTCTGTCACGTTCGTGACCCGGCAGTCGAATGTTATGCTGTCGGTCAGCCGCGCGGATTGTAAACGAGGCGTTAAATTGATGCGTATAAAACGTCAACGAACAACGAAAGGACTCGACGAAACGCGCGCTTCGCTGACAAATTTAAATACATTATATCGAACTGAAGGGCCGTTCGCAACGAAGAACGTTAATCCATCGAAATATATTTTATAGCGAGGGAGAAATCGCAGTGAAGTGAAGGAGAATTATGCCGACTGGCAGATCGATTGGTCGTATAGGACGGCCCGGTCACGTGACTTCCCATGATTCTAATTCAGTAGAACGTAAAACGCGTGTGACGCGGTGCTACGTGTTCGCGCGTAGAACTCAATTTTCTTTTATTGCGCACGATCTTAGCCGAAGAGAAACGTCGCCGAATGGTCAGGCGGTTTTTTCTCGATTCCTTCTTTCCCTTCCCTTTCCCTTGCAGCTTATCACGGACGAGATTGAAAGGCGTGTCAGACGAATCCTATTCCACGAACGAAATAGATCGAGTTCGCCGTATATTAAAACAAACGACACGAACAGAGAGACGTAATTTAAAAAAAAATACGATTAAATCGAATAACAGAGAAACATTGCTATTTCCTTCAACTCGGATAAGAAAAAGATTCATTCGCAGAGAATTACTATCGGACGGTCTCCACTCGCTTCTTTTACGACTAGCGTACCAGAATGAATAGTACGCGTCAGCCAAGATGAATCCGTGGCCGAGAATTCGATCGTTCGCTAGAACGGAAGGTTACACACGCCGTGGACCTTGGCTGTGCCGGTGCTGGTATGTACGTCCGGGCACCCGTTGTTCCCGTTCAACGTTGCAATGAATAGAAGAAGAACAGAGAGAAAGAAAAAACGCGCGCCCTGAAATTGCGATTTTACTGTGCCACGGCGTCGGTAAATATTTACCTGTCAGGTTGGCTGTTCGTTTCTCTCCGGTTTCTCCTGCTCTTTAATTAACACGCGTTGTCCCTCTTCTTTTGTAATCCTGCCCTCTCGTTTCTACGACACTTCACTTTCCAAGGACGAAAATAAAACGACCCGCTCCGACCTGGTCCTTTCACTTACGGAACACACGTTTCCACCGATCCCCCTCAAAATCCTTCCTCGTTAACGTTGCGATTGCACGATGGCAACGAGGCAGACCTCTTTCGATTTCCTCTTTCGATTTCCTTAGGCTCTCGCGTTTAGTCGAACGCGATATCTCTCTGGTACACGACGCGGACCACCAGCTAAACGATAGGTATCACGAATTCGCTATCGACCCATCCCGATCGTAAAGCTCGGCTCAGAATCCTCCGGCGTGATATTTTTCCGGCTGCTTGGTACATACGTGTCAACGACGGATGCTCGTCGCCTCTGGACAACTATAGATATGACAGATCGACGGATATGTTTCGATACGGACGCAGTGAACGATTTTTCCTCGCGGACCGACTGGCAGAAACTCTCCTTCCAACTTCCGACAGTGCCACGAGTAGACGCTTAATGAACTTTAATGGATCGCGAACGTGGCATCGCGTATATCGTACGGAGAGGAGCGGGAGAAAAAGTTTCGTCCAACTTGGACCACCGGACACTCACTCGGGTTGCTAACGAAGGAAATTGAGGGGATTTCGTCGAGCACCGAATGCGGAAGAAGTTAATGGATCTTCTTCGGCGACACTTTCCACAGGCGTCGCGACGAGTCCGAGCGGTAACGATTTCGAGGGTCCTTTTTGCTCGCTAAGTCCTACGCACTACACATACACACCCCTATGAACGCCACTTTATCCACCGTACACCGACAATGTTTTCGCGTGATCCGTCATAGAATCCTTCGTGTCTTCGTCCACGACGGTCATGCTTAATTTTCTCGCACTTTCGCTAACCATCCTCGCGATCCGTAACGCACATTCTGTCCGGAGCGTCTATCGGCACTCGACGAAATTTCCATACTTGTGTACACGAACGACTGTCTCGGCCGAATGTTCTCGCGAACCGAAACGAAAGAAAAAAAAAAAAAGAAAAGGAACAGCAAGAAACGTAAACGTAAATACGAAGTCCGACTTCACGATTCCCGACGAGCGTGAAAAAACGTGCGTCCTCGACGTCGAGCGAACGTTGTTGTTTGCATCGTGTCCGACCGACTTGCTCGAGATACGGGGGGGATACGGTTGTTCGCGGTCGACGACGAGGAACGTCACCGGGACGAAGGCTCGGCACGCGAGTTCGCCGACCGACTGAAGCACGGTTCGACTGTCAGCCGACCCCAAACCCCGAAACTCCACTCGACTCCTCTCCGTTCAACGCGTCCGTCGTCTTCGTCCGTTCCCCATAACGATAAGGGGTGGTTCGGGGCGCAGAGGGCATAAACAGACCAGGGAGAGGGATGGAGAACTCGGCGCCTGCGCCAGGTGTACCAGCCGACGAGACTCTTTCCTTCTACTTTATGCTTGACACTCGCTACTCCTGCGCTGCTTGTGCAGGTGAAACAGATAACGAGTAGAAATCGTAAATCGCAACCCCCGCCGACTATCTTTTCGAGCTTCTACGCACTATCAAACGTTGCGTCTTTGTATATATATATATACGACGTTACGCGTGCCCGATAAATTTACTCGCGCGTAAAGGCTCGATAAATTTACGATTTGCTTAAGCTAATGCCGCGGCTGAAGAACTGAAGCTTTAATCGATCGGCGAAAATTGACCCCGTGACTCACATATGTTCTCTCTCCCCTTAAATTGCACGTATAATCGAGCAGAATTAAACACTCAGACACAACGCTTTCTTCTTCTAAGAAAATTTTCTACTTCTGCGAAAGATTGAATATTACTTCGTAGCTTGCTATGTATTCAATTATATATATATATATATATATATATACACATTGCTGTAAATTTCGCAATGAAACTTTACAATTAATACGCTGCAAGGGGATCGTCGAGCTAACCGACAATCGACGAGTACTCTGTCGGGTTCTGTTCAATTGAACAAGAAGAAACAAAGACGCGGACGGACGCGGCTCTATGATGAAACGAAGGGGAACAAAGCCGAGGAGTCGATGGGGTATTGTCGCGGAATCAGTCGATGTAACGTAAGCGCGAACAGCAACGAAGTTGTGATTCACGAGCGTCGACGTCGATTAATTAACGCAAACCGCGATAAATCAATCGGATTGTTGTTCCCGGCGTAGTCAACGATTTTCCCGTGGCTAACCCACGGAATCTCTGTTCTCCGTTCCCGTCGTCTTTGCCTCCTCCGTCTGTCCTACTGTCTGTCTCTCTTTTTCGCGTTCCTTCGATCCCGCGTTCCTTCAAACCGACTCCGATGTGAGAGATCAATCAGTCCTGGAACCACTTCCGGGAAACTTAGCAAGCGCATTTCACCGCTCGACGTCGATTCAAGAGTCCCGAAGCAGCGATTCGTCCACGTTCTCGGCTCTCTTTAACTCCGCTCGGATTAAAAAGGACGCGGGTCTTTCCGTTCGTATATATATATATCAATTCGAATTCAAGCTTCCGAGATTTTGAATTCTACCTTTCACGCCTCTGTCGATGATTTCCCGTGTTCTTACGTTTATATCCCGAGATTGGTCATAAATTAAACGTAAAATAGTTTGGATTAATCGTTAAGATCGTCACTTAATCGTTGACTTAATTTCACTTAGTTCTGGAATTTTTCTTCATTGTTCTATCGCGTAGAGAATGTTATTATAGACCATCCATAAGCCAACAACGTTCGAGTAGAAATGTTTTAGAAACGTTTGCGGCCGTATCATCGCGCTTGTCAAGAAAAATACGAGACGAGGTTAAAGTCGAAAGGGCGAAGAAACAAATCGGATTTGAAGCGAATGTTCCTATCTCTCGGGAGATTCGGCTGCACACCGAAGTTGCAAACATCTGAACTACGAACGAATTATATTATTTAAGCCGTATCTCCCATAAACACGACAGATTTACATTGCGTCGTTTCGCGTGTTACACCCTACTAGTTCTCCTGAGAGTCGAGTTTAAAACAATCAGATTCGTCACGATAAGAGTTGCGCGGAAATAGAATGGGAAACTTACTGCCTACGAAGATAATAAATAAATCTGAAAGGAAACCACCGACTGAGATATTTTATATTCAATTAATCTACGCAAACAGAAAATCCCCGTTATTTACAAAATAACTCTGAACAAACTCCAGAAATCTCACCCTTTCGTTTCGCGAAATAATTTCAAACATCCACGTACAATTTGGAAGTAGTTGTCTCGGCGGCGCGCAAACGATTGAATGAAACAAATCAACCAACTCGATCGGCTCAGTTATCCTGTCGTGGGAATAGATTCGACGTATCGACGTATCGACGGTGGTGAACTCGTCAACGGCGCGAGCCTCGGCGGTCATTCAGTAGGAACAATAACAATAATCGAGATAACGCACGCAACGTTACGCCGCGAGATCCGTTTAGCTACGACCAAATTACCAATATTATCAGTTATCGGATTATTACAGCAAATTATTCGGGTTTGCCTTTACCAACTAGCCTACATAGTGCGCGACCCCTCTGGCGACCTGGTTCACCACGCGGCTCCTCGCTCCGCCTCGCTTCTGTCCGCGTGTTCTATCGCCAATGGCTCATCCCACGTGTCCCTGTCGTTCATCTGTGGTGGAAGGCGCGACCAGGTGCACCTATTGTTCGCGCCAGCGTACGGTAAATTCCAAGTTTTGGCCCGAACTCTGTACGCAAGCTTGCGTGGAAATGTGACGTTTGTCAGTCTCTGCGAATGCAGAATGGGGAAAAGTGAACGGGACGACAGAGGAGGTGAGAGAGGGAAAGCGACTGGGCTCGAAATATGTATCGCGGCACAATGCCGCGTCGGTTGGAAGTTTTGAAACGCCAGCGACTTTGGCGAACCAACGTGAGAACGTTTGTGCTGGAGTTACGAGAGGCCGTTACAGCGCGGCTACGGCTAATAAATTCGACAGGTGAATGCCGTTCAATCGTCCCGATAACATCCACGATCCAACTTGAACCGTTCAGTCAGCTCGTAGGTGTTGCTTCGAGCAACGTTGCTTCTCGAGCACGGGCTCGTTGAGATTTTTTTACCACTTTGCGTACACTTTGGGTATATACGCAATGTAACGCAACGAGTTGTATAATTTCGTTCTTTCTGCGTGTAATTTCATTTTTACGACGGTAATTACACGTGTTCTTTCGTGTCAGTAATTTATTAATACTCGTTCCGTCAAAGTTGTAACTGGTTGTATTACCGACCGCAAGAACGCCGAGGTGCAAATTACAATCGTTCGTTGCGAGCCAGCTTGCTTGAATAGAAATCGCAAAGCCATTGGAATACGTAAGACGTTGCTGAACTTTTCGAACTTCGCCTAGGGACGTGGGGAGGGGGAATACAAACTTCATTTAGAAACACACATACCCGTAAATATCCATACGTAGGTACCTGTAGATAGCAGTAACATGCTTGTACACGTAATACCCCGATAATACGCTAAGTCTGAAATACGGCTATCGCCAATGGCGCCCATTGAGTCTGCAACATGATCTTACGAATACGAGTACCTTTACCGAGGCTCCGTACAGGCTTCGTAGCTACATCGTTAACTACGTCCGATCGAACGTTTTCTCAATCAACGTTGGTGATCATACGCTCGCCAACGTATGAAATTTCGTACGCGCATATGTACGTACAGGTAACGGGTAAATTTCCAATAACTTTTGACATCGTACAGAAACGCGTGTCATTCGATATCTTTTTAGGTCACTGCGGATATCACCGCCGCGTAAAAAAACTTCCGCATTGTTATACATGGAAAATGGCTCGAATATTGACCAGTGCGCGCGCGTACCAAAGGAACGATATCGGTGGCGAACACAGCAACACGACAGAAAGAGATTTTTCGAAATATCGGCTTCCCTAAAGGGAAGGCAGTACGCGCGTAGATCATTCGCGAATCAGTCTTAAAACCGTCGGGCGAGTGATTTACGCGCTACGACGGGTAGACACGCTGCTATTTACCCGACAACGTAAAGATATATTTCGCGGTCGTATCATTGCTCTTGATAACAAATTGTTTCACGGCACTCGCCATTTTTATCAAAACCCCGTGGAGAAGACGCTCCGTGGAATGGACGCGGAAATGAATATACAGTGATACGACAGTCATTAATAAACCGTCTTAGAAATCATGCTCCCGATCTTCCGTCGACGGTACATGCCACCGGATCCATTAGAGTAATTTATTTATCCTGACGTCTAATTATTTACTATCTACATCTGAGCGTACTTCGAAGCTCTCTCTTTCTCTCTCTCTCTCTCTCTCTCTCTCACACGCGCGCGCGCGCGTTTAAAATCGTAACAAGTCGAGTGAGACGTTACGCTGAAAAATCGTTTCGACGATTTCCACCCTTAACGAGATCCTGTTTCCAGCAGATCGCTTTGATCGATTTTGCTGAAAGCGAGATTCTCTCTCTCTCTTTTTCTCTTTCTTTCGTTTAAACGACGGTTTATGAAACTTTGAAACACGTTACTTGGAGACACGATGTTTCTTCTTTAATCTCGGGAATCGTACGTACTCGAACGAATGCCTTCGGCATTCCTGGCGACGCTGTCGAGGCTTCCGTGGATACGCGTTTCGTTCGCAGATCGTAGCCGTAACGACGGAACTACGACGACAACGGTTTTCGCGTTAATCGTAGCGACTGGCCGCGGTTAGAAAAGTTGGAAAAGTAGAGAGAGAAAAAAGCGAAACGCACGCGGCGAGAAGGGGCTGTGGGTAGCCAGGGTACCGGTGTCTGCCTGTTCGGGCAGGCTCGGGAATTGAGTTCACCCTTGTTACGGGGACACTGCGACTGGGTAGGAGTCTCGTTCAAACGTCCTAGAAGGGGTTGGGATGTAGAGACGGTGGTTTCAGTCGCCGAGCGTTTCCGAATCTCGGCGGGGTTAATAGTCGAACGTGCCTGGAGGGATTCGTCGGCGCTGCCTCCG